GAGATGCATTTCCGAAGTATGCTTACGGATCTGGGAAAGTTTTCACTTCTCCTTCAGTTTTGGAGAATAGTTTTGCCAGATACAGAATTCTAGGTGGGTAGGGGTTTTCTTTCAACACTTGATTTTACTCCTCTCTTCTGGCATGTTCCTGAGAAGTAGCCGTAACTCTTAGTTTTCTCTGTAAAATAATTTCTTAATCCGGCTTCTTTCAAGATTCTCTCTTTGTCTTTGGTTTATGCAGCTTGAATAAGATACATCTACATATGGATGGGGCTTCCGTCGCGGGGTAGGTTAAGGCTGACTCTTGGTTTCCCCTGAGGTCATGATCTCAGGGTCCTGAGATCCATCCCTAAGTGGAGCTCTGTGCTCAGCAGGGACTCTGCTTGAGATTATCCCTCTTCCTTTGCCCCCCCTCTCACGCACACTTTCTCTCAAATAAATGATCTTTGTATAGATTTTATTTGTTTGTTTATTTATGAGAGCGAGAACGAGTTGGGGGGTGGGGAGTGGCAGAGGGAGAGGGAGAAGTAGACTTCCCGCTGAGCAGGGAGCCCCACACGGGGCTCTATCCCAGGACCATGAGATCGTGACCTGAGCTGAAGGCAGATGCTTAACCACTGAGCCACACAGGAGCTAAAAAATAAATGAATCTTTAAAAAAAAAAAAAAAAGATCCTATGTATAGATATTTGATATTTATCCTACGTGATATTGGACCTACTCGAGCTTCCTGAATCTGTCATTAATTTTGGAATGTTTTCGGCCATCGTTACCTCATATTTCTTCTCCATTTATTCTTTTTTTTTTTTTTTTTTTTTTTAATTCATGAGAGACACACAGAGAAAGGCAGAGACTCAGGCAGAGGGAGAAGCAGGCTCCATGCAAGGAGCCGGATGTGGGACTCCATCCCTGGTCTCCAGGATCACGCCCTGGGCTGAAGGCAGCGCTAAACCTCTGAGCTGCCCGGGCTGCCCTATTCTTTTTTTTTTTTTTTTTTTCCTGGTGTTCCAGTTATGTATATTACATCTTCTGAAATTGTCACATTGTTTTTGGATGTTTTGTCCTAGGTTTGTTTTTCATTCTTTTTTCTCTTAGCATTTCAGTTAGGGAAGTTTCTAAAGACCTATCTTCAAGCTTATTGATTCTTTCACAGTTGTGTCCAGTATTCTGATGAGCCCATTAAAGGCATTCTTCATTTGTTAGTGTTTTTGATTTTTAACATTTCCTGTTGTCTATTTCTTAGCGTTTTCCTATCTCTACTTATATTACCCATACGTTCTTGCATGCTATTTATTTTTAACATTCACTCCTTATTAATCAGTTATTTTAAATTTTCTGTCTGAACATGTGTCATAGAAGACAACACAGACACAGACAACATCTGTGTCATAGAAGTCTGGTTCTGATGCTTGCTGTGTCTTATCAAACTGGTATTTTTTTTCTTGCCTTTTAGCATGCTTGTAATTCTTTATTGAAGGCCAGACGATATTGACTATTGGATCGTGGGAATTGAGGTTAATGAGCCTCTAGAATGAGAATCTGTTAATCTGGCTAGGAGTTGAGTTGCGTTTAATGTTCGCTGTAGCTGTAGGTCCAGAGGCTTCAGATACCTCTAGTGTCTTTGTTTCACTTCTTGACTCTGGTTTTCCCTAAATGTTACTCCTCAGAGTGTGTGTCTTGAAGCTCTTCCAGCTGTAATCCACTGTTACACTGGAGCTCTGTTGGCGTGGTGGTAATGAGTGGGGGAGGGGAAGCATTCTATAATCTCTGATGAAATCTCAGTATTTAGTGGGCATGTGTCCCTTGGCTGTGACCTTCATAAGTATTTCTTAATCCCACTCTGTGATATTATAACATAATACGAAATAAATATATTTGGTCTTTGTTCCTGACACCTGGCCAGAACTCCTGAAAGCCTTGTAATTTCCTTAATGATAATATAGGAGTATCTTTTTTTAAAAAAATTTATTTATTTATTCCTGAGAGACACACAGAGAGAGGCAGAGACACAGGCAGAGGGAGAAGTAGACTCCTCACAGGGAGCCCGATGCAGGACTCGATCCCAGGACCCCGGGATCACGACCTGAGCCAAAGGCAGAGGCTCAGCCACTGAGCCACCCAGGTGCCCCTTTAAGATTTTATTTTTAAGTAATCTTTATACCCATTGTGGGGCTGGAACTTATAACCCTGAGATCAAGAGTCACATCCTTGGGGGACCTGGGTGGCTCAATGGTTGAGCCTCTGCCTTTGGCTCTGTCAAGATCCCTGGGTCCTAGGATGGAGTCCCACATCACGCTCCCCACAGGGAACTTGCTTCTCCCTCTGTCTAGGTCTCTACCTCTCACTGTGTCTCTCATGAATAAAAAATAAAATCTTAAAAAAAAAAGTCACATCCTCCACTGACTGAGCCAGCCAGGCTCCCCATGGAGCGTCTTTTGTCAGAATATCTGGTTTTGTCCCTGTTCCTGAAATAGCTCTGAAGGAATGAAGATGAATGGAGCATCTTTTGTTATAAGACCCTTTTAATCATACTATTAATGCAAATAAGGGAGTTTTTGGAAAGCCCCTAAGGATGAGGGACTGGTTGCCACAGAGGATTACTCAAAACTTTTAGCCCCAGCCCCCTAACCTCTGACCTCTGGGGAGGGGAGAGGGACTGGAGGTTTAGTAAATCACCAATGGCCAATGATTTTAATCAACTGTGCCTATATAATGAAACCTCCATTAAAAAATACCCTAATCAAAGGGATTGGGAGAGCTTGTAGGAGGATGAACACATCAGTGATGGGGGAGAGAGTGGTGTGCCCACAGAGGGCATGGCAGCTCTATGCCCCTTATCTATATCTTGCCCTATGCATGTCTTCCATCTTGGTTGTTCTAAGTTGTATTCTTTTATAATTAACCAGTAATGTAGCAAGCCATTATAGCAAATTACCAAACCCAAGGAGAGATTTGTGGGAACCTGGATAGCCTGTCAGAAGTACCAGAGACTTATACTTGTGATGGGCATTTGAAGTGAGGGGCAGTCTTGGGGGCTGAGATGTGTGAGATCAGACACTAACTCCAGATAGTGTCAGAACAGAGGTGAATTTGTAGCACACCCAGCTGTCAAAGAACTGGTTGGTGCGGGAAAACTCCCCACACATTTAGTGTCAAATTTTGTGAGTGGGGGCACCTGGGTGGTATGGTCATTTAAGTGTCCAACTCTTGGTTTAGGCTCAGGTCGTGATCTCGGGGTCTTGAGATGGAGCCCCATGTGGGGCTCAGAGCGAAGTCTGCTTAAGACTCCTCTCTTGCCCTCCTCCTCTCTAAAATAAATAAATCTTTATTATTTTTTTTAAAATAAATCTTTAAAAAGAAAAGTGAGGGCAGCCTCAGTGGCTTAGCGGTTTAGCACCGCCTTCAGCCCGGGGCGTGATCCTGGAGACCCAGGATCGAGTCCCACATGGGGCTCCCTGCATGGAGCCTACTTCTCCCTCTGCCTGTGTCTCTGCCTCTGTCTCAAATAAATAAATAAATAAATAAATAAATAAATAAATAAATAAATATCTTTAAAAGAAAAGTGAGTCGTGGAATGTATAGAAACAAGTTTTTTTTTTTTTCTAAAGCACTTTTTTTTTTAATTCTTTTTAAGATTTTATTTATTCATGAGAGACAGAGAGAGAGGGAGAGATACAGGCAGAGGGAGAAGCAGGCTCCATGCAGGGAGCCTGATGTGGGATTTGATCCCGGGACTCCAGGATCACGCCCTGGGCCCAAGGCAGGCACCAAACCGCTGAGTCACCCAGGGATCCCCGAAACAAGCTTTCTTTTACCTTTTCCTCACTGAGATGAGCTGGAAAGGCTTGATGGGGTGGGCGTGGGAGAAATGCCCTTCCCGGAGTAGCATTAGACCCTGGTAGTCTGTTCCCCCTGGGGAACGCTCAGGGTTTATTTTACAAAGATTACTCTTCCCCACCCCTGCTAGAGCCACCAGGGAATCTTTCTCAGCAATTAGCTGTAACCAGGTGGGGTTCCTAGAGGTGTCCCTTGGCCTGTGGCCCCCTCATTCCCACACTAGCCCACACTCAGCTTGAGCATCCTGCCATTGTTCCTGCCAGCTCTGGCTCCAGTGGCTTCCACTCTAGGTGAGCAGGTCTCTGCTCCGACTCTCCAGATTTCAAGGCAGCAGTCTCCCCTGCATTCAGCTCTCTGATGCTCCAAGGAGAGTCACTGATTTTGTTTGTCCAGCTTTCTCTTGTGAGGGCAGGAGTGACAACTTCCCAACTCCTCGTGTGCCTGAGCCAAAACCCGAAGTCCTTTCTAAAGTGGAGTGATGTCCTCACCTCACTCCCACCTCCGCTTTCAAATATTTTAAAAACTGTCCTAGGATGCTGAAGAGTTTCAGGCAGAAGAGGTTTTGATCTTAAAGGCTACAGAAGGCACCCCCTATGGATAAAATGCCCCCCACTGTGCCTGACCCAGATGAGCCATCCTTGCTACTTAGGGCGAAGTGAATCAGGCAGCCCAGCCTTTAAATCCTTATTCTACCACTGACTGACTGTGTGTCTCCCGGGCAGGCTAACCTCTCCCGACCTCTTTATCTGCCAGGTAAATATTTACCTTGCAGGCCTGCCAGTGGAGCTAGATGGGGAATATGTGAAAAGGTAGCACAGTGCCTGGCACAAATGGCAGCCATAAGGTTCCTCAAACTCTTGGAGACTCAGTTTCTTGGAGCATGAGATGAGGCTGATAGCCAAAGGTCTTGTTATTCTTGTGTGAAACAACTCATCTGTTCAACACTGCAGGAGTAACTGGGGATAGGGGCAGAAGCAGCACCCACATTTACCCCATGAAGAGCCCAGTGACTTTTGTCCAGTATGGCTCTAGCCATACAGTTAACATAGGAGCTGGGGCTATCTTGTGATATTCAGATGGTGATCAAGGGGCAGGGACAGAGATGGTATCTGGTAATTCTCACCTTCAACACACGTGCACATACACACACATACACCCAACCACTAACATCTGTTAGTTTATTTTTTTAAAAAGGTTCCAATACAAGGCCCCAGAGTAGTGCATGCAAACAATGCCCCTCAAGCTGTCACTGTCAGATGACCAGTACAATCTGCTACCATAGGCTGTAACCTGGTAAAAAGACCAGTTTCTCTCTTTGAGTACCAACACCTAATTATGCCAATATATGTCCAACCTACCACCTGGGTCATGATGACTCGTAAGTATACTTTGAGAAGTATACTCAGAAGTATCCAAACAGCAGACATTGAGCTGCAAGAACAATGAGTAAGTGTCCTTAGTGTATTAGACATGGAAAAATACAAACAAGGCATAAAACAAACAAACAAAAAAACACAACGTCATTTAATGCCTGAATTCCCAAAGTCTCTTCCATACATGATCTAGGTCTAGGGAGATCTCCCAATGCTGTATCGAGAACTTGCTCATTTTCTCTGAGTTGGAGCTGTTTGCTTTGAAGGACTGCAGGAAGAGTGAAATATTCACATGAGGTAAGCACTTGAAGCTGTGGTTGCAATTCATAGGCCATCTTTATTTGCCCTGATGATAACCCATCTCTGTAAATCCAACTTTGTGCCTGTGTGAATTCTGGGAAACGTTAGGGATAGAGAATTCTATCTCCTGTCACACCTATGACTATAGAATACAGCCATGGAAAAATTCATGGAGGAATACATCTATGGAAGAATTCACTTATTCACTTACATCAGAAGGTTTTAGTTTGGTTTAGTATACTCAGTGTTTTTAAGTTTAAAAATAATGTTTCTTATATGTATGGTTCTTAATGCTCTTAGTTACTTACAGATTGCTACCTGGGTTGATTTCAGGAAAAGAGTATATTCAGTAAACTAATCTGAATTGAAATCCCTAGCTAATGAAGAGATACATTCTTGTAAGAAAAGTAATTATGATGGAAAGCAGCATTTAGCTTCTGGAACTACCTGCCTTTTGGTACAGTGTCTTCCTCTTCAATCAGCGAGCAATGAGAGACTAGCAGTAGGAAGCATGCCAGGCAGCCATGAAGCCCTCCGTAACAACCGCAGGAAGGGCACGAGAAGGAAGAAAGACACCTGTAGCAGGCAACACTTTAGATACCTGGTTGCCAACTTTCCAACCACCACACCCACCAGCAAGGCTGGTAACTTGGTTGACACTAGTAAACCACTCATATGCCTTGGTGAACACAACCATGATGCAAAGGGTCCTCCACACACCCTCTACACACTTCCCATTCCCACAACCTTATGCAGGATCTTTTCATTCAGCCCAAAGATCCAACAGATACTAAAGAAATGTGAATAGTGTCAAATATAGACTACCTTTACACCAGTTTTTCCAACATTCTCAAGACCAACAGGGGTCTTCCCAGAAGGTAACAAAACGAATCTCAGCTCTCACACCAGTAACCAGTGAAAAGTATGACCCAGAGTTAGTTAAGGGTATAAAGTGACTAGTGGTCAGTTATTGTTCTTTAATCAAAAAGAATAATTGCAGGAACTCTACCTAGAGCTGAGCACACACGGGTATCATGATGTCCAACATGAGTTAAGGATTATGTTCCTGTAAACCAAAGCACCGGAGCTAAATTAACAATTTCCCTTTTTGCCCATAATTGACAAAGAGTTCAAGTACTGTGGTGCTACTGGAATGATCCTGGGTTGTGCCTCTTCAAACACTCCCATTCCTTAATACTAAACATAGGTAGGAAAACACCTCACAGGTGCCCCAGGTCAGAACAGGATGAATCGAAAGGAAGAGGCTGATCAACTAGCCCTAAAAATTATTTTATCTTCTGACTCAAGGAAGCTTCCACTCCCATGGCAGTGTTCCACAAAAGCTTCCTGACTACCAATCCTAAATTATAGACTGGGCCCTCTGAAAAAGCCCAGATCAGGGTATTTTCACCAAAATTCTAGAGGGAAGTTTCTCTGGGGACAAATTGTTGCATCATTCAGAGGAACATTTGGGTAGAGATTCTTCTCCCAAATACTACTGCCTCCATCAACCAAAAAGGTCACCACTCCTATTTTCTAAACAGCCTGTGGTCAGACCCAGTGACACCCCTGCACTGGAAGTTTAACTTCCTGAAAGAGACAAAAAAGGACTTAAACCGATATGGAAATGCCCTGGTAAAACATCACCCCCCTCCTCCCCTGCTTAAAAAGAGCTGCTAGGCTCTCCTGGGTCTAAACTATTGCCTTCAGGGCAATACCCCCCCCCCCCCTGCTGCACAGGTGTGATGTACCCAGCAGGGCAGAGGAAGCCCCAGGTGAAAGAACCCACAGCCTAATGGGGACAGACTTGTGTCAGACCAGAGTTAGGTTCAGGGGAATCCATCTTGTCTGTCTTGACTAAAGAAAAGTGCCCTATAATACTGCATAAAGACCAAAGACTAGGCAGGAGCAAATGGACCCACGAAGGCTGCCCCACAGAACTGCATTTAGTTATACTCAGGAATGAAAATTTAAAATCCCTTCTACAGGGAAAACCCAATTCAAAAACAAAAAGACAAAACCAAAACCCCCAGGAAGTACAGCAAATGAATGCTGATTCTCCCTGTTCTGGTTCCCCTTTATTATGCAACTATAATGGAAAAGCCTCCAAGTGCACAGCACAAAACAGCCGATTCCCTGCCCTAACCTGTGCACATCTTGTCACCCTCCCTCCTTCCCCATCCAGCTCACCAGCCCCTTCCTGCTCCACAGGCTCCTGCCAGGCCCTGGGCTCAAAGATGCCCTGCCCAGTCAGTGGCGTCAGTCGGTGCCCCCCTTCTGTTTGGCCAGGGTACGCTTCAGCTCCCTCAGGTTCTCTGTCAGCACTTCTACCTCATCCAGGCGGCCACACTGCTTGGCATCAAAAATGTACGCCTTGATGTTATCAATTTGCTGGAGGAGCAGCTCCTCCTCTATGGGCTCCTCACCCTCTGGCCCGCTGTCACTGTCCATCTCAAAGGGGTTGGTACAGGTGGCTTCTTCAAAAGGGTTGCCAGGAACAGGAGGGCTTGAGGGCCTCTGGTGGGGATGCTCATCTTCCTCATCGAAGGGGTTGGGTGCTGGACTGTCTGGGTTAGTGAAGGGATTCCCTGCTACAGCCTCCTCTTCTTCCTCAAAAGGATTGTATTCTTTGAGGCTGCGGGCGGAGGGGCCAAAGGAAGGCTCTGCAGCAGGAGGGCTGCTGGTGCCCTCCGCTGTGGGGCTGGAGGCATCTTCCTCATCAAAGGGGTTTAGGGAGGCCAGCTCATTTTGCTGTAACACGGTGCTCTGGGGGAAGGACTCCTGGCCAAAGGCTGGGGGCCCAGACCACACTCTGACTGGCTCAAGAGCTGACAAGGGCGAAGGGGTCTCCACAGCTGTACTGCTCTGAACTGAGGAAAAGCCTAGATCCAAAGCACAGGTAAGGTGGGTGCGGGGCTCCCTGCCAGGCTCCAGTTGAAAAGGCCTGATTTCTCGGAAGTCCAGAGACCGAGTCCGTGTATGTAGGGATGCGGCCCGGAACTGCTCTCTTTCTCGTTCCCACTCCCGCTCACAAAGCATCTGCAGCTGTTCCCGCTGCAGGTCCTCCTCCTCGGCCTGCCTCCGGGACAGCTCAATAGCCTTCTCTGTCTGCTGCTGGTCATACTCATCCTGTAGCTGCCGTAGGTTCTCCTGCAGCGTGCGCACTTCATCGGTCCGCCCAGCAGCCTTGGCCTGCCTAATAAATGATGTGATGTTGTGGATCTGCTGGAGGAGGGGGTCTGAGTCTTCACTCTGCCCCTGACTTCCTGACAACGGGAGCCAGCCCTCAGCTTTTCTCAGGGAGCAGGTCCCCCTCGAAGGGACACTACCTCCCCGTTGGCCGTATGAGATGCGAGGTCACTCCGCCTTTCCTCAAGCCGTCGCTGGGATTCCAGGACAGCCTGGGGAGACACCAAAGCCAAAGAGAAGAAACACAGTCACCAAGTCACACCACCAGCCACCCCTACAGTCCCGCTGTCCCTGTGCTGATAAGACTCCCTAGGATTAAGGCATCCAACTATTAAGTCAAATCATGTTTTTTGTTTTTTTAGGAAAACAGGAGACAGACTTTCAAAAATAAATTAATGAATAACAGTAAGTTAAGGGATAAGATTTTCTCAATCTTAGATTCACCAGCCACATGCTTGTCTTAAACCTCTGAGGCCCAGTATCAATCATAGACACTAGGATCTCACACAATATTAAATGTACATTATTTTGTTTAGTGTTGGATATTCCAAAGTGTTCTACAAAGAGCTCCTTGATATCTGGGCCCTTCGCAACCTGTGCTATAGGAAGAACCAGCAGCCTCCAGAGTATTCTGGACCAGAGAAAATTGGCATTATCTCTTTAAGACAAAGAGGACTGACCCAGGAAGAAAAATAACTTATCTACAGAGGAGAGGCCAGAAAAGAACAGAAGAGAGATGCAAATCAAACGGCATGAGAAGTTTTGATTTGACTTGATCTCACAGAGAATCCCTTGGGAGCCTGGGGTGGCCTCTGGGTTCAAGAGGCCACCAGTATCCCTGTGTTTCACTTGCCTGTCTCTCCAGGATCCTCTTCCTCTCCATTTCCTGCTTCCTTTTCTTTTTCAGTTCCTCAAACTGTTCTCTGGTTGGCAATGACATTAAACCCAGCAACTTTTCCTGTAGGGAGTCACAGACAATTTTATATTTATATCCTTTCAGAAAGAAGATAAGCCTACATTAATGAAGTCTGTTTGTAAGACTCCATCCGCACTTCCTGCCCCCACTACCCTCCCCTGCTCTACATTTCTCCACAGCACTTTTCACCATCTTATAAACTATATACTTTAGTTGCTTCTTGTCTATGTCCCGCCAGAAAAAAAAACTTTACAAGAACAGGAATGTCTTTTTGCTCCTGGGAGAACATGCAGCACTTAAAACATTGCCTGATACACGGTGGGTACTCACCAAGTGACTGTTGAATACACACTAGTCAAAAGGAGAAAAGGCCTAGTTCTCTACAGTACGGTGTTGGAAAACTAACCCAGCAGGGCTCTGCTAGCTGCCTCTGTCATTGAGCCCCAGAGATGGTTCACTATGGCTCTCCCAAGGGGTGTTCTGAGGCGGAGCCAACTCAGCTCTAACCACCCAGGTTAGTCCACCTGTGAACAATCAGCTGCCTCCTCCCAAGCAATGGCCCAGGAAGAGTCCCTCAGGAGTTTATCCTGAGGAAGAAATGGCATGTATCAGTATGTCTGTCAGGCAGCACTCATACTAGCAAAAAAGCAGGAATCTATCAATACCCAATGAAACTGAATTAAATGAAGGATGGTGCAGAGAAAGTCGTATTCTGCAGCCATTCAAATGGTAGCTGTTTAAACGAAGACCATAAGTGCTCATGATACAAAATTCAGTGTTAAAAAGAGAAGGCATAAATTTGCAAACATGCACTACTCATAACTACTTTATATAAAAAAATCTAAACGGAAAAAAAGAAGAAAATATACCGGGATGATGTGTGACGATATTGGGGACACATGATTAAGAAGTTTTTACTTTTCCTTGTAATCCAGACTTTTCTCTAAATGTGGCATAATTACTTTTTAAAAATAATAAATGTACAAATACAGAACAAGCCATTGGTGAGGTCTGCCTTCTAAGAGGCAGAAAAGCAGGGGAGGCAAGACACTTCTGCCACCATAGGATGGCTTTACCTGCACAAAAAGCGTAGCTGAGTATCTGATCATCTTCTGTAGCCGCAAGGTATTTGGATGTGGTGGAGGGTCCTGGTTCAAGCCTAAGGTTAAGATCTTCTTACTGAATTGAAACAAACACATCAATGTAACAGGTGTTGCCAGTCCCAGAAACAAGAGTGAAATCTCTTAGTTGCCAGGCTTTTGTGCCAGGACCATCCACAGAGAAAGCAAGTTAAAAACTCCACAACACATCCTTGAAGGCAAAGCCTATTTCTTACCATCTGGTTGTACCCAAGGCCCCTGACACAGCACAGGATGTATGACCAACACTCAGCCAAGGAACTGACCACACATCACCCAACTTCATGGGTAAGTAACCTATGCCTGGTTTAATATTCTTGTGTCACTCTCTTAAATTACTTTCGTTTCTTTTTTTTTTTTTAATGGCGGCAGGGCCTGGGGGTTCAGTGAGGAACTCCCTAGGCCCCTAGAGTGGGGTAAAGTGGGAGAAGCAGGAAGCAACCAGCTTTCTCAGGCTGGTACATAAGCAGAAACTGGGCCAGGGGGTTTGTGGACAGTGCTGGGGGCAACAGTGGGCAGCAGGAGGCTGAAGCCACTCCAAGACCCGTATCTTAAAATTCTTTTTATTTTTTTAAATTTTTTAATATATAGTCACAGATAGTCAGTCAGAGAGAGAGAGAGAGAGAGAGAGAGAGAGAGAGAGGCAGAGACATAGGCCGAGGGAGAAGCAGGCTCCATGCACCGGGAGCCCGACGTGGGATTCGATCCCGTGTCTCCAGGATCACACCCTGGGCCAAAGGCAGGCACCAAACCGCTGTGCCACCCAGGGATCCCCATATCTTAAAATTCTTAATAATCCTGACCAGGGACTTGCAATTTCATCTTGCACTAGGGCCCATAAATTATCTTAAGTCAGTCCTGCGCAGACAGATGGACACGGCTTCCTCATCTCAGCTCTCCCTCTGAGAGTATACCTCCCTCTGAGGTATACTTTCTATACCTCAAAAGGGTGATTTAACCCTAACAGTCAGTCCATGGTTAAAAAGCAGCTGCTGACTTGAAGAAAGAATCCAGGTTTCTATCCTGACTCCACCACTTCGCTAGCTGTGGTATACCTTCTTACCTACAAAATAAGGTAATCCTATAGCACTGGCTAACTTTGGTTGAATAAATGAGATGTGGATACAACCAATGGCTGGTACAAAGATGGTGTCAATAATCAGTTCGTATTTCTTTAATAATAATGAACAGTAGTCATCGTAACCAAGTTACTGAGATGCACTGAGTGCCAGAGCTGGCACCTACCTCACAGCCTGCTCCTCACTCATACTCCCTATCACCAGGACTCTGGGTAAGCTCAGGCCTGCCAGCCACCCATGCCCTCAGTGAAATAGCACCTCCTCCACTCAAGGCAGCAAGTCTGACATCACTTAAGACCTTACCTTAAAGCATCTATGAGCTCGTACACTTTCTGCACTTCCACTCGAAGGTCACCGGCATGTTCCAGACTGTAAGTTGTTTCCCCAGCACTAAGGAAAAATCATGGAAATATTCAAGTTTCATCAGGATGCCTGGGAAGTATTGTAGAAAAGGGTTCTAAGGGTTTAGGGCCTTACAAAGGGAGACACAGCTAATTTTCTCCAAGTAGTATATTTCACACTTTTGTATACAATGCAGGACTCATTTTTTTTTTCTAAATATAAGTGCTATAATCAGGGCACCTGGGTAGCTCAGTTGGTTAAGCATCTGCCTTCAGCTCTAGTCACAGGGTCTGGGGATATAGCCCTGTGTTGGGCTCCCTGCTCAGCGGAGAGTCTGCTTCTCCCCTTCCCTCTGCCCCTTATCCCTGATCGTGATCTCTTGCACTCGCTCTCTCGCTCACTCTCTTTCTCAAATAAATATAATCTCAATAAATAAACTAATTAACAAATTAATCAACTGGAAGCTACTTTTAATTTGCAGACACCACAAGAACAGATTTATGCCTAGGCCTTTAAGGACTAGCTCTTAACGCTCATCACCAAAATAAATGCAAATGAATCTCCTTCAGCCTACTTTCCTTAAACAATTTCACTATACCTAGTAAAACATAAAATGGTTTACTAAATAAGTTGGTTACCCTACATCAGAGGAGAAAGCAGCTGGCTGTTCTCGCTCAAAGATTATCCCCAGGGAGAACAGGAACAATGGGAAAGCTGATCGAGGAATCCCCCGGGCCTCATGAACAATTGCTTCCAGGATGAGAAAAGCACTTAAGACTCCAAATTAAGAAGGGAAGAGACACGGGTAACTGCCTAGGGTGGAGCAGGGGACTTCAGGGAAGGCCAGAGGTGACTTCATTCCACTTAACTCAGAGGAACAATAGTAGTTATGTGATCTTAGAACCATTCATTTACAAGTGTGTAGCCCCCATCAGGCCTGAAATGCAAGTGCAATGATGATGGCCTATTTTTATATCCTAACTAGCACATGGCTAAGCTTCATCAGTGCTCACTAAAAAGAAAAACACTTCAGAAAGTCTTGCAGCTGTTAATGCAGCCTCAGCAACAGCCACTCAGCTCCCTTTCTGAGGCAGCACCAATTTACGTTAAATAAGCAGAAAGGGTGGGATCCCTGGGTGGTGCAGCGGTTTGGCGCCTGCCTTTGGCCCAGGGCGCGATCCTGGAGACCCGGGATCGAATCCCACGTCAGGCTCCTGGTGCATGGAGCCTGCTTCTCCCTCTGCCTGTGTCTCTGCCTCTCTCTCTCTCTGTGTGTGTGTGACTATCATAAATAAATAAAAATTTAAAAAAAAATAAGCAGAAAGGGGGAAAAAAAACAGAAAGGACTGACCTGGTTTACCATGTACAAGACAGTACCCACTGGAAAAAACCCTGGTGTGTTCTATAATTGGAGGATCCAATAAGGTGGTTTCATCCTCTTAAAGCTCATAGTTTGCAAAAAGAACATCAGACCAGAACTGGGAATGCTGTACTGTGTCTTGATATCTCCAAGTCATGTGGAAAATAACAAGGTTGACTCAAATCTGAAAGAACCCTCTTGGTCTCGGTCACATTAACCAAATGTATTACCCACAGAGCACCTATCACGTCTGGAGTTATCTACTTCATGATTTGTTCACTTGGTTATGGCCTGTGCTCCCACAGTAATGAAGCTCCAGCAGCAGACATGGTCTTCACTGTTCATTGTTACAGCCCCAGTACCTAAAATAGCACTTGACACATAACTGGTTTTCAATAAATATTCATCAAATGAATAAAGGAGTAAAATGTGCTTAAAGCCATTTTGAGCCAGTTTTTGGAAAACAAGTAGGAGTTAGACATCTGGAAATGTGCTCAGCAATGGTAGTTCCCAGCTGGATGGGGAGGCCCAGTGCCCCACAACTATGTCTGAGGTACAAAACAAGAAAACCAACAGATTAAGGGAGAGGAGGAGGCCCCTGGGTAACATCATGAGGGAAAGTTGAGTGCCAGCTCAGACTGCCAGGAACACAGTTCTCCTTGCTGACATCCAGGAAGAAGATAGTCCTGTTCTAATTTCAAACCAATGGGCAAAGGTGGGAGGAGGGGTATTGATACCAGTAAGTTTCAGGGAAAAGCACATGAGACAGGTGCTTCAAGCCAAGGATTCTCCATTTAAGGGAGGTATATATCAGAATCACTTGAGCTGCTTCTCCCAACCTACTCACAGGGACGCTATATGCTCCACTGATCGAAATTATTGCTCAGTGAACTGCAGGTAGAAAAGAAAATGTGTCCTTTCCTCCTGTTCTTCAGAATCCACGCTCTTGGAATGAAAACAGGAAGAATGGGGTATAGAAGGTGCAAACATTAAAAAAAAAAAAGAAAAGAAAAAAGAAGGTACAAACATAAGAAGAGAGGCCCTAGGACACTAGTGGCTGAGAGGGCTGGAGATTTGGTATCCTTCCCTTATACACCCAGTTGCTAGGATGGAGGAAATAAGGGTAGTCCACAAAAGCTTCCCTACCTCTTTTCTGTTCCCTTCCTACTCTCTTTCCCCTCCCCATAAGCTGGAAAACACTGGGGGAGGGAGCAGGGACTGGAAGAGCCTCAAAGCAAGAGTAGAGGCAGGGAGACATGCAAGAGAAGGGGTATTTTTGCCACAAACCAATGGGGTTTAGCTGATTATATTCTTTAAGTCAGACATTTTTAGACTCATAGCTTAGGAAACTCCTTAAGGATCATGTAAAGGAAAAAGTTCATTTTCTTTTCATGTGAGACTCACATGATAGACTTAGAACATGATCACTGACATCATGAAAAAAGCCAAGCTTTGTGTTTTTTGTTTGTTTTTAAGTAGGCTCCATGCCCAACAATGGGGCTTGAACTCAGAATCCTGAGATTGACAGTCACACACTCTACTAAGTGAGCCAGGCACCCCAAGCTTTGTTTTGTGGGGACACTATTGCCACAGTAAATGGGCCAATAAAAATACAGGTTTGTTCTAAACAAGGCACATCTAATTCCACATGCATCACGACAAAGGTGGTAGGTGGGCAACACAGGCTTAAAACAAAGGCAGATAACCCTCGCTGGGTCCCATAATTGTTTTTCTGCAGGCTGGGAAAAGACTTGCTGCGATCTGATTCTAGTGGTAGCACTTCAAATTCTAGCTCATGTATCATTAACCTACAGAAGGAGCAATGCTCTTAGGAAAGTGTCAGCATAAATTTTCTATAAAGGGCCAGATAATAAACATTTTTAGCTTTTGCAGGCCAGTTATTCTGTCAAAACTATTCACGTCTGCTGCGGTAGCTGTACTAGCAGCTACAATCAAACAACGGGCATAGCTATGCACCAATAAAATTTTATCAAAAAAAAAAGTGGTAAAAACAAGCATTGGCAAGGATATGGAGCAAATGAAACACACGTGCATTGCTAGTGGAAATACAAAGTGGTGCAGTCATCTTGGAAAACAGTCTGGCAGTTCCTCAAAAAGTTTAAAACCTAGTTACCACATGACCCAGCGACTCCACGCTTAGATATATACCCAATAAAATGGTATGTCCACAAAAAAACTTGTACATAAATATGCACTGAAGCATTATTTGGACAAACCTAACTGTTCATCAACAAAGTAATGGATACACAAAGTATGGTCTACCATACCACGGATCTGCACAAATGGATGTGCTGCCAAAGGAGTGAATCTTGAAAACACTATATTGTGTGGAAGAAGCCAAACACAAATGATCGTGTATTTATGTGAAATGTCCCAAATAGGCAAATCCATACACAGAAAGCAGACCAGTGGTTGCTAGGAAGACAGGAATACATAGTGACTACTAATGGGGGTGGGGTGTCTCTGGATGATGAAAATGTTTAGAATTAAGACAGAAATGACTATTGTATGCCTTTGTGAAGAATTACTGACTTGTACATGTTAAAAGGGCATGTAAATTACTAATCATTAATTTTTTGGTGTGTAAATTAGCTCTCAGTTAAAAAAGAAACCGATAACAGGCTAGATTCGGCCTGTGGGCTGAAGACTGCCAACCCCTGCTCTAAAGAAATGCCTGCTCTAAGCCCGGATACCTCAGTGCCAGCCTGCAAGAGCATCTCCTTAGGCCAGCACACGAAGCACACTGTCCCTGCTCACCTCCAGATGCTGCACTCGGCAGTGGTGCCTGTATCCCAGGCCCTGCCCAAACCTGCTCCACCAGAACTAGGGTCACCTGAACATGGCTACCTAGGACTATAACATGTGCCACACAGAAATACAGACATGAAAGGAGCCCTCGGGTGGCTCAGTGGTTGAGCATCTGCCTTTGGCTCAGGTAGTGATCTGGGGGTCCTGGGATTGTCCTATATCAGGCTCCCCACAAGGAGCCTGCTTTTCCCTCTGCTTATGTCTCTGCCCCTCTGTGTCTCTCATGAATAAATAAATAAAATTTTAAAAAAAGAAGAGGGCAGCCTCGGTGGCACAGCAGTTTAGCGCCGCCTGCAGCCTAGGGCATGATCCTGGAGACCCTGGATTGAGTCCTACGTCAGGCTCCCTGCATGGTGCCTGCTTCTCCCTCTGCCTGTGTCTCTGAGCCTCTCTCTCTCTCTCTCTCTCTCTGTGTGTGTGTGTCTCTATGAATAGATAAATAAATAATCTTAAAAAAAAAGAAAAGAAAAGAAAAGAAAAGAAAAGAAAAGAAAGAAAGAAAGAAAGAAAGAAAGAAAGAAAGAAAGAAAGAAAGAAATACAGACATGACAAAGATTCTCCAGAGTTGGTCATAGAAGAAAAGCACAGTCAGAATTAAGGTTTTCATTTTTACTACTGATGAGCTGTGCTAAAGTGCCAGCCAACAGTCATCACTGAATTAGAAAAACAGAAGAATAGCTTACTTTAGTGATGCTGCCATCTTGATGTATTCAGGAGCTTTTTGGTCAACTTTCTCCATGCAGAGTCGTAATTTCTAAGAACAAAAAAGAGGTGAATAGTATCTTCAAGGTAGAGAAGAGTTATGCTGCATGAAAAGAGGTGTAATTTAAAATGTAGTTTTCAGGGCACCTGGCTGGCTCAGTCAGTAGAGCATTGACTTAATCTCAGGGTTGTGAGTTCAAGCCCCAAACTGGATATGGAGTTTACTTTAAAAAATTGTTTCTTTAAATGTAGTTTTAAGAACGGAAATATGCATATTTTTTGTTTGTTTTTATTGTTGTTATCAATTTCCTGATTTACAGACAGCCCTTAAAAGCAGTAAATCTTGCAAGAAGGAAAGAAAGTGAGTACAGCAGAACTTTTGACAGGATGTTTTTGCAGGGAGCAAGACCTTCCAGATATAAGCAATGCATTTACAGGGCAGAGGAAAGGAATTGGTGGCTACATTCTTTCTCTGCCAGATGATAAAAGATACTAGCAAAAGGCATTGCCAGGGCTTACTTCAAAAATGAAGGAAGGAAAAAGCATGGTGGCTATTTAAAAAAAAAAAAATGAGTTATCAGGTCATGAACTCCGACAGCTACATCTGCAGCTCAGGGCAGGGTTTCATTAATTCCATTTTAGTGGTATCTTCATGGTGATTCCAGAAATACAGCCATTATGATCCACAGATCTGCTAACAGTGACCATTCACAGTGATCAGTAGACCAATATACAGACGGTCTGTGACTTACAATGGTTAGACTTTGTGATTTTTCAACTTACAATGGTGTAAAAGTAATAGATATTCAGTAGAAACTGTATTTGGAATTTCAAATTTGGATCTTTTCCCAGGATAGTGACATGCAATACGACACTCTCCCATGGTGCTGGGCAGTGGTGGCAGCCCCAGCTCCAGGTCAGCCACATGATCAGAGTCAACAACCGATACCCTTAAACCATTCTGTACTCATACATTCTGGTTTTCACTTTCAATACAGTATTCAGTAAGTTTCATGATATACTCAGGACTTTATCATCAAACAGATCTGTTAGAGGATTTTGTCCAACTGCAGGCTAACGTTAAGTGTTCCCAGCATGATTAGGGTAGGCCAGGCTACACTATGATCTTTGGTGTGTTTGGTGTATTAAATGCACTTTCGACTTCTGATATTTTCAACTCAGGGTGGCTTTATCAGGACATGGCCCTTGTAAGTAGAAGGCCTGTGTGCTCTTTTGCTTGGGGTTCTATACCAGCTGCTCCTCCACCAGGCTGATCTCCTCCTCCCCACCTCCCATCACTTGCCTATGAAGCTGGCTAATCCTTCTCAGACTGCAGGTCCCCCTTGGCATTGGGAGATTAAGGCAGACTCACTCCCTGTCTAACTCTGAATCCCGTTTTTGCACCACCCTATGTTCTTCTCAAAGTATGCACCTACCGAATGTGTTCTGGGATTGCTGGTGTAATGAGAGCTGAGGCATCTGAATGGACTCAAAAGGAGAAGCTCTATGCTCTTGGGCAGTCACTCAAACCTATAAAGCCTAAAGCTCCTAAATGAGTTTTAGAGGACTCTTCTGGTCCACTGTTTACTATCTGCTTCAGCTTCTGCTCTCATCCTGTCCAGATTGCATGGCAACTTTCCTTCTTCCTCTTGCCGCTGGGCCACCAAAGTCTCCAACCTCCTGCTTTCAAGTGGACAAGGAGGGGTGAAGAAACAAGGTTGCTGCAACACACCCAGGATGACTCTGTGAATCACCCAGATCCCTAGCTAGAAACCATACCATGGCCCATGGCCCTTTAGCAGAAACTAAAAATGATTCAAAGGAACAACTTCCCAAAGCATTCTCCAAAATGTGCACAAATCTTTATCTCAATCAGGCCCAGGACCACACACAGTGAGTCACCTCATAGAGCTTTACAATGTCGGGGGTGTGCTCCTTCTCATCAATCTGCTGCTCTCTCTTGAGCAGTGTGTCCTTGCAGTGTGTACAGCAGCGGATCCGGTCATCATCCTTCTCATCCAGGACGGAGCTTACACTGCTCACACTGCTGATACTACCCCGGCGGGAGCCATGGACACTGTTGGGTGACTGGCTGGGGCTGGTGTGGGTGCTCAGGGAATCTTTGCTGGCACTGGTGAGCTTGTCTGTAAAGCACAACACAGAACAGGCGGCAGTGAGCCCATAGCCTCCAATCACCGCACTGCTCACAACAAACGGGAGGCCACAGGTGTTGACGCAGGCTCTGTCTTTGGCCAAGAAGCACCACACCTCTGCCTTCCTGGAGGTCAGGCTCTGTGGTGGGAGAGACTCCTACAGACAGCCAGGAAAGAACCAGACAACCTAGGAAGGTCTCTCTTTGAGGCTCCAAGGCCCATTTCTAACCTGACCCAACACAATCCACATCTCAGACTTTCCCACTCCCAAACATCTGACTCCTACCCCTTCCAAAGCTCAGCTCAAATGGTACATCCTTCAGGAAGCCCTACTCTATTCCTTGAGGCAAAAACAATATACCCTTCCTTTTTTTTTTTTTTTTTTTTTTGTAATATACCCTTCCTGTTAGGTCCTACCATGTCACTCCCTGGAAGCACTTTCCACTTTTCTCCCTGAATGAGAGTTCTATATACCCAAAGTTGCTCTATGAACCTGCGTCTCTGGGAGTATAGGAACTGTCTTATTCAACAGGGTTGATTTATCCAACAGGGCTACCCCACAGCAGCTGCCCAGGAAATGTTGGTTAATTAGCGCAAGACAAGAAATGCGAATAGTGTCTCAAAAACATAGCTTATGAAGTCTCAGGTGAGACCAAAAGTCAGTCTCAAAAAAAAAGGGAAGTATCAAGGTAATGTGTGTTACATGCAGAGTCAGAATTCCCCAGGGTTAAAAAACCACCCCAAATATTCCAGAACTGGCCCAAAGTCCATGAAATCATCTTTATCAACTTTTTACCAGCTGAGACTCAAAGTTCTAGACCCTCTGGTTCCACCTAACCTTGTAGGCACCATCCCCAAAATTCTCAAACATGTCCTCTACACTCCCCCAACTACTCTATTTGCTCATCTAACCATCCCCTGGGGCCCTTCCACAGCTTTGCTCCTGCTCCACACTCTACCCAGGATCCCTCTTGCCCTACCTCTTTGCAATCGTAGTTGTCTTTTTTTTTTTTTGAAGATTTTATTTATTTGTCAGAGAGAGAGAGAGAGGCACAAGCAGGGGGAACAGCAGGCAAAGGGAGAAGCAGACCCCCTACTGAGCAAGGAGCCTGATGTGGGACTTGATCCCATGAGCTGGGTTCATGACTTGAGCCAAAGGTAGATGCTTAACCAACTGAGCCACCCAGGCATTCCAATCCTGGTTGTCTTTTAAGGCTCTTCTCACAAATCACCTCCCAAACCTAGGCATCCATGCTCTCAATCCCCCCAGCACTCAGTGTCTCTCATCTTATGATGTTACAGTCTGTTCTATATGACAATAAACTGACTTTTATCTCAAAGGAAAGGACTAGCCTGTTACTCATTTCTTTTTTCAGATTTTTATTTATTTATTCATGAGAGACACCGAGAAAGAGGCAGAGACACAACCAGAGGGAGAAGCAGGCTCCCCTCAAGGAGCCCAATGGGGGACTTGATCCCAGGACCCCAGGATCACACCCCGAGCTGAAGGCAGACACTCAACTGCTGAGCCATGCTGGCATCCCTGCTGCTCATTTCTTAAGACTCTGTTATAATATCCTCAAAAGTCTCAGCTGCCACTTCCAAGCACAGCTGACAACGATCTGGTCAGCTCTCCTGCGTATCTGACGCAACTTCTCTCATAGTGCTTATCTCTTTATAAAGCCATAATATGTTTCTAGGTCTGTATCCTCGGCTAGATGCTAGACCCTTTGGGAGAATGAATAATGCCTTATAAACCAGAGGTGGGCAAACATGACCTATAAACCAAGTCCAGCTTGCTTTTATATGGCCCCTGAACTAAGTATGATTTTTAAAAGGTTATTTATTTAAATACGTTTATTTTAAAAGGTTTTAAAAAAGATTTTAAAAAAATTTTAAGATTTTATTTATTTATTCATGAGAGACACATAGAGAGAGAAAGAGAGAGAGGCAGAGACACAGGCAGAGGGAGAAGCAGGCCCCATGCAGGGAGCCTGACGTGGGACCTGATCCCAGGTCTCCAGGATCAGGCCCTGGGCTGAAGGCAGCGCTAAACCGCTGAGCCACCCAGGCTGCCCTTAAAAAAATAATTTTAAAAGATCATTTAAAGGGGATCCCTGGGTGGCTGAGCGGTTTAGTGCCTCCCTTCAGCCCAGGGCATGATCCTGGAGTCCCGGGATGGAGTCCCACGTCAGGCTCCCTACATGGAGCCTGCTTCTCCCTCTGCCTGTGTCTCTGCCTCTATGTCTCTCATGAATAAATAAATAAAATCTTTAAATATATAAATAAATAATCATTTAAAAAAAGAAGAAATGTCACAGAGACCACTGTAGCCCATAAAGCTTAAATATTTACTATCTGATCTTTTACAGAAAAAATTTGCCTGCCCTTATTATCTACCACTGTATCCCTGGACCCTAGCATCATGCCTGGCCTATAGCAGGCTTCATGGAATCAACAAATGAATGGATGAAGATCCCATGGGAAAGTTACTTAAACAAAAACATTCAAAAGATCACCTGGTGGTGATTAGCAAACAAGCTAGTCACAAGAATAGATCAGGATCCACACCCCCACCTCCATGTTACCTACTTGCAAAAGGGAGGCTGATGAGCTCCATACACTTCTTGCACATAATTGACCCGCAGAGCCGGCAGTGGTGGCGGCGGTTACGGATGCTGAACTTATTCCCGCAGTCTGGACAGAAAGGGACATCCTGGTCATTGACCCAAGGCACCACGGACTTTTCTATTGCTTTGGGAAGAACAAAACAAAAATCAAACAAACAGAAAACCTAGCCATTTTAGAAAGAGGCTTGGTCAGGGACAAAGATAATTAGAATGAATGTGAGCAAAATTCTAGAGTTACCTCGTATCTTAGCAGACTCAGTATTCGTCCTGTCAAATGCAGTGAGCTGACAAGGAGAAAACAGTGCCAAATGGAATTAAACAGGTGATGTATACATATTCCACAGGCAAGAAGCATCAAGCAAAAATTCTCACATCTTCATTTCTCAAGTATCATCTCATCCCCAACCCCGCAAATTCACATTGGACAGAGTATTAGCTTCTCATCTAGAGGGCAGTTCCCTTCCCCATGATCTGATTTCAATCCCTCTATTGTCAGTTCTCCATTTAAGCAATAACCAGGGGTAGGCAAGGATATGGTGGGTGTGGCTAAATGAGCAATGGGGAACTCCCGACTCTCCACAGTCCTCATGGACAATGAAACTGGCCACATATTTCTACTCTACACTTGCAATTGCTACCATGCCCACCATACAATCCAGATTATACACAATAAGCATTTCTAGGGTCAAAGTACAACAGAGTGATTGTAGGTGTTAAAAGACACACTCTGATACCACAGGATGAGAAGGCTCAGTCCAGATGTTCCCATACTGAATGCTGGCCTGGCTGAGTACTCCTCACAGACCTTGTTACCAGCTTCTGTTTGTTATCGATATCACACACTATGCCCCCACTGCATGACTATACTTTAGACACCTAAAAGAGGAAATAACCTGAAGGTAGAAAGGTTTTCTGGCAGCCAAGGGGGCGTCAGAGAAAGGATAAGGCAATCTGGATATGTGGCAAGTCTATCAACATGGGCCATCTCCTACAGTAAAACAGGCCCAGGCTAGAACTGTCAATCATGTCCTCTGCACCTAAGTGGGCTTGAGGTGGGGCATTTCTCTGCCAGTGTCAAATATATACAACACACATAATAAACACTGCAGAAATATTTTTTTCTCCTAGAAAATTTATACTTGTAGCAAAAAAAAAAAGTTTTAAAACAAAATTTACCTTCTCTAACCTGATTATTAATTTATTGACTTCAACAACATAGTGGTCAATTCTAGCAGCTCGGTGTTTTTTGAAGTCAGAAAGATGGCTTCTTACAGCACCTAGAAGGACAGGAAATGAGATAAATAACATGTCATTTCTCTGAGGGAGTCCCTCTCCCTTGCTGTTTATCCTCAACGAATTTTATTTTTTTAAAGATGACCTTGTATTTTTAAGATTGTACTTTATTTATTTGAGAAAGAAACAGAGAGCTCAAGCGTGGGGAGGAACAGAGGGAGAGGGGGACAGAATCCCAAGCAGACTGTGCTGAGCACGGACCCCAACATGGGGCACAATCCCAGGTCTTGGAGATCATGATCTGAGCCTAAACCAAGAAATAGACACTTAACCAACAGAGCTACCCAGGCACTCAGGTATGACCATAGATCTTAACTTTTAAAATTTGCCATCCATTTAACCTTCCACAATTGTGACTTCCTCAACAAACTGAGGAATTTAATTCTGGCAATCACGAAACAGACTATTAAAAAACTGGTAAGAATTCACATGCCTGAAATTTCTCCTTTATGTTTCAAATTGACTTTTTTTTTTTAAGATTGTATTTATTTATTCATAACACAGAGAGGCAGAGACATAGGCAGAGGGAGAAGCAGGCTCCATGCAGGGAATCTGAGGTGGGACTCAATCCCATGTCTCCAGGATCAGGCCCAGCTGAAGGCAGCGCTAAACTGCTGAGCCACTGGGGCTGCCCTGAATATTTCTTAAATTTTATTATTACTATTATTATTATTTTTTAATAATAGTCCTGCATCAGGCTCCCCACAGGGAGCTTCTGAAGTCAGCTCTCCCTCTGCCTATGTCTCTGCCTCTCTTTTTCTCTATGTCTCTCATGAATAGTAATAATAATAATAATAATAATAATAAACCTTATAAGGAAATCATTATTTATCCTTCTCCCTCTGCCTATGTCTCTGCCTCTCTTTTTCTCTATGTCTCTCATGAATAGTAATAATAATAATAATAAACCTTATAAGGAAATCATTATTTATCCATTGCACAGACAGAAAATACATTAAATTTTGTTACCATTCAACAGTTAAAGGACATGTAAAATGAGTTAGTTCAACTTCATGTGGCATTTTTGGTAACAGTTCTGTTGAGAGGGATCCCTGGGTGGCGCAGCGGTTTGGCGCCTGCCTTTGGCTCAGGGCGCGATCCTGGAGACCCGGGATCGAATCCCATATCGGGCTCCCGGTGCATGGAGCCTGCTTCTCCCTCTGCCTGTGTCTCTGCCTCTCTCTCTCTCTCTCTGTGTGTGTGACTATCATAAATAAATAAATTTTAAAAAAAATTAAAAAAAAAAACAAAAAACAGTTCTGTTGAGATATTATTCACACATACAATTCACTATTTGAAGCATACAAATTCCATGGTTTTTAGCATATTGAGTTGTACAACCATCACCAAAATAAATTTTAGAACATTTTCATTACCCCAAAAAGATAATTATTTTGAAAGTCAGTAGGTGGTACCATGATTATGTGTTTCAGAAAATTAAGTTGCACAAATCAGTATTCTCTTGCTGGGCAGGTAACATCCTACATTAGAGGAAATAACCCAGTCAATGGAGCCTCTACCTGGGCTGATGTCAAACACTTGGATTCCTACCTCAGTTCCATAGTTTCTTAGCTATTTAACTCTGAATAAAATCTTTTTAAAATATTTTTTTTTATAAAAGATTTTGTTTATTTGACAGAGAGAGAGCACAAGCAGAGTAAGCTGTAGGCAGAGGGAGAAGCATGCTCCCCACTGAGCAGGGAGCCCGATTTGTGGCTCCAGCCCGGGGTCATGGATCATGACCTGAGCCAAAGGCAGATGCTTAATTGACTGAGCCATCCAGGCCTCAGATTTATTTATTTTAGAAAGATAGAATAAGCATGTGAGTAGAGGGAGGGGCAGAAGGAGAGAATCTTCAAGCAAACTCCCACTGAGCGTGGAGCCCAACAAGGGGCTCCGCCTCACAACCCAAGTGAGATCATTACCTGAGCAGCAACCACATAGCGGGGCGGAGCGGGGGATAACACTTAACTGACTGAGCCATCCAGGCACCTCTCCCCACTCCACTTTTTTTTTTTTCTCAGCTAACTCTTAAAACAATGAACACAATGATGTTCAAACATTTGCTAAATGAATGAACAGAATTTCTTACCTAGTTCCTGGGGTTCCCACATGTATGGGTCAACCCCTCCATAACTGAAAGACTCGTATCCTTGTGTCCCTGATTCTACTCGGTCATCTCCTTCTCGTTTCAACAGCCTGTTCTTGGCTTTCTTAGCCTTCTGCACAAGACCTTGAAAAATGAAGCAAACACAATGAATCCATAAAATCTACTAAAAAGTCAAGAGAAATCTCAAAACGCAAGAGTTGATGAAATGACTACACTTTATATAAAAAATTTTATATCTCAAGTAAATTCCAATAGTAAGTCCACAACCGCTGAATTACAAATACCACAGAGCAACCCATTCACTGGTTACTAAGTTGGTTTATGCAGCGATTATAGAGCTAAATTACTGCTCGTTGCCAAATTTAAGAGCCCAATTAAAGAATTAAAATCTATTTCAATGAGGGGACCGAGGTAACAGAAATGTTTTTTTCTAGATCTTAACTGGGGAGATAATCACATGGGTATATACAGTTTTTAAAACTCACTGAACTGTAGATGTAAAAACTTAAGTGTAAACTATATTTCAATTAAAATAAAGGTTTTTTTAAATTAAATTCTACAATATTAACTTACTTTATGCTCTCATGAGTAAATACTTCTTGTTTACTTCCAGGAGAGAATTCAACCAAATGTGCATCCCTGGGCTAGTGTTTCCCATAATGCTTAGCTATACATAGAGTTCTTCCCCCACTCACTTACTGAATGAATGCATGTATGAGGACACTGATAAAAAGCTTCAAGAAACAGGTATAACAGCTACAACATAACACAAAAGGAACCAGACTTGGTAAGAAGAGAAAATGAATGTTTCCTGGATTGATTCTTTGCATGTACCAGGCACAAAAAAAAGTGCTTTCAAAAAATCAGGCCAATGCATGCTCACATTATGAAGCAGGTAGTATCCCTACTTATAAATGAGGACATGACAAAAAGAGAGGAAAACCTTGGTGCACCCCAGATCACAAGAGCTTATAAGGCAGCAGGGCTGCAAGTGGAAACCTTATCTGTTTAAAATAAGAACCCCAGTTCTCCTCAGCCAGCATGATTCAAAAACTATGCCTCTACAGAACAGGGTTTTTCTGCTATCTGTGCTGAGGTAAGAAGACCTGCTGTTAAAAAGGAACAACAGTCAACTTATGGGGGGAAATTCTTGATTATAAGTTGCTTTCATTAAGGCTCTTAAATCTTAGGTGATATCTCCTTCTCCCTCTAGAATCTAGTAGGAAATATCAGACTTAATACAAAATACAATTCTTTTAGATTTAATAGATCAATACTTTATGGAGTTCCCACAATTCTGAAGTGCTCTATCATCTGAATAACATTAAAAACACTACCACAGCTTTCCAAAAACCTAGGGAAATGTCGATATGGAAGGACTGGCAGGCAGAGGGGGGGAGACTGTAAAGCTTATAGATATGGCTGTGTTAGACAGTCAAGCCAATAGCCACTCTGAGATGGCTTTCTTCCACTGGAAAAATAAGGTCCACTAGGACTAATGGACACCATCTAAAATACGTTCAAGTAATGTCTCAACATGGGAGAGAAAACTGCCTGAGGTAAACAAAGGGTTAGCAGACAGGAAACCGGTTAGCAATCACTAATTCATTTCTGCAAACAAGACTAAACTGTGTCAAGTTAAACAGGCAGTACATGCCATTTAACCACTTTATGAGGACAGAAGAATACTCTGGCAACCTTCTCAGGTGTAGCACTTCAAGAGGCGGCCAATGAAGAACAATCCCATAAGAACAACAAAACACAGAGTAGAAGCCACAGTTAATTTCCAACCATCCTTTCTTATACTTACCGTACAGGCGCTAAACTAAAGATGAACCAGGGCTGAGGCCCAAATTCGCTCACCACCTACTAATGACAAGTTTATATTTTCTTTCTTAAACTGCCTCCAAAACCTGATACCAAGGTTTGCTCTTTTGGCTTTAACATTTCACTTGACAAAACCAGCAATGTCATGAAATTTTTAAGAACCAAAAGACCAAATGAAGAGATGATCTGCTTTTTAAAGGACTTTTCAAAAATCTTTGCTGTCAGTCTTTAAAACTTTACTTTCCTGATTCAGAAACACAGAAAACTCCCACACAAACAAGACTTCCTTCCTGACTAAACAAATGATCATTAGACTAAAGGAATCCTTAACTCAATTTCTTAGTTCTTTTGAGGTAGAGGGAAAACAGAGGGAAAAACAGAAGAGAATTCTTACAAATTTCTTTCACAACTCATAAAATTCCTCCTCTTTTATTCTCTAAGTGGATTCCCATACGATTATTCCCTAAGTAACCTTAAACATTTTTCCTCTAAGAAATAAATCACCACAAGAAGCTGAAGATACTGTCTAACCTCTGTACCCACTAGCATCAAAGTCTTAGTGACATCACAGTATGTGACTCAGTTCAGCGGACACTCAGAATGGACACTCATTAAAGATCACGGAGGCCTTTCAGCTGTCCAAGAAACCTAGATGATCAGTTTGTTTGCATTCTAGCTGCAGGATAAGACATGATTGGAACACAGAGTCTGGTATCACCAGTGATGCCAAGCAGAAAGAGCAGCACTAGACTCAGAGATGACAGAGGAGCTGGGGTCCAGGTTTAGCTCTGGCAATTCCCATGTGACCTTGGATAAGTCATTCAACATCCCTGAGCCTCACTTTTTCTCTGAAGAATGAAATCAACCACATCCCTGCGGAGTTGCTGTGAAAATCAAAAGAAATAATGATTATGAAGGAACTCTGAAAACTGTAAAATGCAAATTTTTTTGCCTCCTAATAGTTATGGCTCTCCTTCAGCCTCTACAGACAGAAGCCACGTCATTTATCAAAGCTCAGGATTTTGAAATATGTGACTTTGCCATGTTTCTGGACAGAGGTTATAAATGTTAATGCTTTCAACAATATTTTCTGAACTGAAAAGTGAGATATGGAGTAGGACTATTTGATTGCAGGGGGCATGTGACTCACATGTGTGGAGGCCAAATTCCACTCAGAAATACATGATCATTCTCACCCAACACAGAATTGTGAATACACACATCCAGACCTTTTTATTCTCACTGCCTTCAGAAATGCTGCCAGCTGGGAGAAGCAGGCAAAAGTGAGTTCCAGAGTAGTGGCATCATCTTTAGGAGTTAGAATCTAAAGTTTTGGAAATGAACGCTATGTATAGTTAAAACTCCTTTGAAAAAATGCTTTCTGCAACTCTCCACAATTTGAGGCCTAGGAAGCTCAAAAAACAAGTTTAAATTTTGGGGTTGTTTCTCCTTGCTTTTCTACTATGGCCTTCCTTTTTCTGGGCTGCAGAGGACAAGGTATAAGTGAAGAAGAAGAATAGCAGGAAGGCTTGAATTTGTGACAGGGAAATGGGTGTACAATTTCCACCTTCAGAGCAAAGGAGAGGAGTTCCATTCCAAATTCTTCACAAGGCTGACAATTAGATAATTCAATGTAGCAAGAGGCAGGAAAGCATAATAATTACATTTACTAGGTTCAAAGTCATGCCCTGCCTCACTGTGTGACTTCAGGCAACTTACCTAACTTCTCTGTGACTAGTACCCTCATCAGTAAAATGGGTCTCACAGTCTAATAGTTACTGTGAGAATTAAATGAAGTTCATTCATGGGAAGACTGAACAATGCCTGGCACATGGTAAGCATAAGATAGATATATGTTCACTGCTATAATATTATTTACTATCGTTTATCATGTTCTGGTGGCATCACGGAAGTTAATGAAACCATCCCATGAGTTAAAGCTCCCACTGACAGAATAGGATAAGCAAAAAATTCTCGCCTCTTACTTTTAATTTGCCCTTTGACATCACGGTCTTCCCCAGAGTGCTCTTCCTCATAATGTGACTGAAGCTGATAGAAAGATTGCAGGTTCTTCAGGCACAAAGGGCAAAGGAAGCCCTCCCTCACTTCCCCAGGGTCATCCAGAGAAGCCATAGCAATGTCCCTCTCAACCCCTGTCAGGCAAGGGCCTCATGCCAAGAGTCAGCTTGATTCCTCCACAAGGGACCAGGGATCTCACAGCATTAGCTTAACCAAGCAGCACACAGATGATGGGGAAGTGGTATCATGGCCCTGGTTGAGGTTTCCTCTTTGGAAGTAGGAGAAGCCCTGAAACAGGAAAGAAGAAGGGGCAAAAAAGAAAAAAAAAAAAAGCCAGTTTAGGCAAATTAGCAGCAATTGAGAATTTTCTTTGTTCTCTTGGCAGTTCAACAAGATTACTTAATGTTTGTTCAGTGCAAGTTTGAGAACACAAAACTGCTTTCTCAAATCCTTACACCAAAACACAAAACCTTCCAAGTATTGAGAACATCACTGAACAATGGCAACTCAATGAAGTAGGGAGTAGATTACTGAAGATAAGAAAATTCAACTTCAAAAGCCGACACAGCAGCCCGGGTGGCTCAGTGGCTTAGCACGGCCTTCAGCCCAGGGCGTGATCCTAGAGACCAGGGATCGAGTCCCACGTCGGGCTCCCTCCTTGGAGCCTGCTTCTGTCTCTGCCTCTCTCTCTCTGTCTCTCATGAATAAATAAATAAAATCTTAAAAAAAAAAAAAAAAAGGGATCCCTGGGTGGCGCAGCGGTTTGGCGCCTGCCTTTGGCCCAGGGCGCGATCCTGGAGACCCGGGATCGAATCCCACATCGGGCTCCCGGTGCATGGAGCCTGCTTCTCCCTCTGCCTGTGTCTCTGCCTCTCTCTCTCTCTCTGTGACTATCGTAAATAAATAAATAAAAAACCTTTAAAAAAAAAAAAAAACAGACACAACACCAAAGCAGTTATCTAACATTCGCTCCAATTGGTCCAACTTCATAATTTGCATGCCATTTTAGCCACTGAGGAAATGTTCGAAGTACTTACCAACACAGAAATTTTGACTGTTTATCTTGGTCTTTATTCAACCACATATACTGAGCTCTTACACCTATGCCAAAAATGCAAAGAGAAAAAGAAATAGTGTCTGCCCTAAAAAACAAACAAAAAAGATCCCAATCCTAGTCTAAGGAGGAGCATTAGAAAACCAGTGGTAAAAAGAAAAATCTACTTTGTGTTTTATATTTGTAGAGTGTTTTCTCTACAATGAACTTACTGGACTTTATAAGCCAATGAAGGACAGCCGAACAGCAAGCCTAATGCTCTCACTGCTTCAAAAACAGAAGGATTTGGTGCTTGAACAATTCAGGGCTTAATAAGTTACATTTTCACTTTTATTGGGCCATGGCAAAGTCACTTCCAAAGTCACCTCAGAAAAACTCCCGATCACAGGGAGAATCCAGACAAAACCATTCCACAAAAGCAGAGAAATTTCTCCCCAAGACCCTGAGGTCACAAACTACAGTACAGAGTAAGAGGAAATACATGACCCTCAGCTTTATTTTTTTTTTAATTTTTTTTAAAATTTTTATTTATTTATGATAGTCACAGAGAGAGAGAGGCAGAGACACAGGCAGAGGGAGAAGCAGGCTCCATGCACCGGGAGCCTGACGTGGGATTCGATCCCAGGTCTCCAGGATCGCGCCCTGGGCCAAAGGCAGGCGCCAAACCGCTGCGCTACCCAGGGATCCCGACCCTCAGCTTTAGATGGAGCTGCTTGGAGGGCCTGTGAGGAGGGGAGGGATTGCCTGGTCCTCAAATCTGAGGGTAGCTGTGACCCAGAAAATAAACAAATGAAACACTGGGCCCCTGTTCTTTTCCCTCTAAGAAACCCTGTGACTATAGACACACGGATCTCAGTCCCTTGCCCAGGCAGTCACTGAAATAGTAGCCCCAGTTCCCTCCCCAGCCAGTGGTGCCTCGGATGCCGCCCCCTTCCTTCTCCTGCACTCACCCCAATGACCACGAATCACACCTCCCCCACCTACACACACATTCTTCACCTCTCAACCCAACCTTACTTCCTCGAGGAAATGCCTCTTACTTGAGGCATTCCCCCATGGGACAGCTCCTGCCCTTCCCTCGGGGCACTTATAGCCACGTATAATCACAAATACCTAAAATAACTAAGTATATAAGACTCTAGGCTTGGGGATCCCCGGATGGCTCAGCGGTTTAGCGCCGCCTTCAGCCCAGGGCGTGACCCCGGGGTCCCAGGATCGGGTTCCACGTCGGGCTCCCTGCACGGAGCCTGCTTCTCCCTCGGCCTGTGTCTCTGCCTCTCTCTCTCTCTCTGTGTCTCTCAGGAATAAGTAAATAAAAATCTTAAAAAAAAAAAAAAAAAGGCTCTAGGCTCTGTAAGGGCAGAGACTGTGCGTTTTCCCCACCACCTTACCCCCAGGGTCTAGCACAGTCCCCGGCACCTTCCACGAAGAAACGCAAGAGAGCCTCATGAATGAATGAGTGATAATGTCGGTCCTAAAGTCACGTAACCAGACACACCACCAACCAAAGAACTCTACTGCAAGCCACCAAGCCGGCCCCCACGACCACGACGTCCGCGAGCCCCTCACATCCTGCGCATCCCGGAATTCTCCTGCCAGCACGAACGCTGCCGCCACCGCCGCAGGCCCCGCGCGGCCGCAGTCGCGCCAACAGCCTGGAGCGCACCCGACGCCCCGCGTGGATCCTGCAGGACCGCGCACACGCCGCAGGCACACGCCACAACAGGAAGACTCGAGCCAGCGGCCGACGCGACTTCTCACGTCGCGGAGACGCCACGCCAAGCGCCACGAACAGCTCCACGCGAGCCGGGAGCACGCCCCGCTCACCACACAGGCAGGCAGAGCGCCGCAGTCGCGAGCACACGGGGCGAAGCTCTCGGCCCGACAGCCGCAGCTCCCCCCGCGCACGGCACACCCACCACCACCGCACACACTCCACGCCCGCCCGGCCCGCCCGCCTGTTCCTCGGCGGGGCCGCGCTCCCGCCCCTCCGGCCCTGCCCGGCCCTCTGTACCCGGCCGCGCTCCCACCGCCACGCAGGCCCGTGGGGTCCTCCGGCCCGGGCTCTGGGCCTCCGCGGTCCCTCACTCCGCCGCGGCCGCCATCTCCATCGACTGCTCGACGCTCGGCAGGCGCGCCTGCGCGGCACCGAAACCGGAAGACAGGCTGACAGACGCCTGTCGAGCGCCGAATCTCCGAGGGCGCCGAGGGGCCGCGGTGGGTTCCGGCGGCGCCGGGCGGCCCGCGGCTTCTGCGCAGGCGCCGTGGGAACCCGCCGGACGGTCCTCGCTAATTTTGCAAGGTTTTGCTGTCCGCGTACTTACGAGCTAAGCATTGACGTCGGGTTGCTCTGCACCCCGCTGAAGAGCTGGGAAAACGGAAGCCGGCGCTGAGTCAGGGGGCGGGGGTAGGGGTGGTTAACACGTCCTGCCCCACATCCACCTGCGGTTCCGAACTAATTTGAGTCCATTCAAGTTCCTGAGAGCTAGAGATAGAAGGGAATACTCGGGAGACCTGGAGGATGTGGGGAGAGCGGGGTAGAACCACGTGAGACTGGGGACATGGGGTGGAGTGGGGGATCCACCCTGCGGGCGTCCAGCACGGCCAGATCCGTGGGAACCTGGGGCGTCTTCGGAGGCGGATCAAAGCCGCGGTGAGCTGTCACCTGACCCCCCGTTGGGACCGCTCTTACCCGGAAGAGAAGAGTGAACCCTTGTGCGCTGTGGGTAGGGAAGTGCGTTGAAGTGGCCACCATGGAAAACAGTACGGAAGGCCCTTGAACAGCTAAAAGCGGGCCTCTCCTGCCATCCGGCAAGTCCACGTCTGGACACACCGACTTGAAAGCGCACGTGCACCACCATCGCCGTTCCCGCCGCGTTCTTTGCAACATGATTTACAATAGCCTGGAAGTGGAAACAAGCGTCCACCCAAGGGTGAATAAAGGATATATGGAACATTATTCGCCCATAAAAAGGAATAAGAGCTGGCCAGTTGCGACAACATAGATAGACCTTGGAGGCATTATGCTAAGTGAAATAAGTCAGAGAAAGACAAATACCATGTGACCTCGCTTGCATGTAGAATCTGGAAACACAAACACAGGGCGTCTGGGTGGCTCAGTGGTTAAGCGCCTGCCTTTGGCTCAGGTCCTGATCCCAGAGTCCTGGGATCGAGTCCCGCATCAGGCCCCTCATGGGGAGCCTGCTTCTCCCTCTGCCTATGACTCTGCCTCTCCCTCCGTGTCTCTCATGAATAAATAAATAAAATCTTTTTAAAAACCCACAGACACAAAAACTGATCTCATAGATACAGAGAATAGATTATTGGTTGACAGAGGGGAGTGTGTGTGTGTGTGTGTGTGTGGTGAAATGGATGAAGGGAATCGAAAGGTGCGAACTTACGGTTATAAAATGAATCATGGGGATGTGACGTACAACATGGTGACTATGGCTAATAATATTGTATTGCATATTTTAAAGTTGCTAAAGAGAGTAGATCTTAAAAGCTCTCATTGCAAGAAAAGATATGTTGTAACTATGTTGGTGACATTTATTAAATAGGTTTATTGTGATGATCACTTTATGATATGTGCAAAGTCAAATCATTTTGTTGTACATGGAATGTACATAATATATGATGTATACATGATATATACGTCAATTATATCTCAATATAAAAAAAATACAGGATGGTAACTCAGCACCTAGTCTGTGCCCTGCATTGTGCTGGCTAACACAGGGTATTTAGACACAAACTTCATCTGAGTCCTGGGAAGGTATTTGTGCCCTGCACAAGGGCTGACATTCAGCACTGTCCTGGGCTCTGGAAGAAGAGCTGCAGAGGATGATGAGAAGATCTGAGCTTTGGAGTCAGAAGACAGCCCCAGTTCATGTTCCAGGAGTGTTACTTGACTCCTTTGCCTCCTGGTATCACCATCTGTAAAATGGGATGAAAATAATAGCTTCTACTTTTTTTTTTTAAAGTTTATTTATTTTTTTTTACTTTTTTTTTGAATTTTTATTTATTTATGATAGTCAGAGTGAGAGAGGCAGAGACACAGGCAGAGGGAGAAGCAGGCTCCATGCACCAGGAGCCCGACGTGGGATTCGATCCCGGGGTCTCCAGGATCGTGCCCTGGGCCAAAGGCAGGCGCCAAACCGCTGCGCCACCCAGGGATCCCAATAGCTTCTACTTTATAGAGTTATGAATATTGAATGAGGTATGTGTATGTGGCAGTGTGTGTGTGTGTGTGTGTGTTTGCCTTTAACACTAGCTCTGGCTCTGGACAAGAGCACTGCTTCTGTGATTAGCACTGGGCCTGCAGCATCTTCCATTTAAGGACACAGGGATCCCATTAGGGGGAACGCTGAGTGAGAAGCAGTGACCAGTGAAAAGGCAGGGAGCTAGAGGTCCAGAGGTCTGGGTCCTAGCCCTGGCCACACCTTACTTTGTGACTTTGAACAGTTCCCTTCCTCTCTGGGCCTCAAGTTTTCTCATATGTACAAATAAAATAAGTTCCAAAGAATTGCAAGCTCTTCTACTTTTTTCAACCTGATGATCGATTTTTTTTTTTTTTTACTTTACAAGGTTGGCAAGAATGGACAGTGATTTCCTTCTGTATGTTGGCACAGACAAGGAAGAGACCTTGCCAACCTCTCAGATGTAAAATAGGATACCAAGCTCTGCCTCTCTGTTGCTGGCCTGTATCTTGGGTCCTGGTAGCCAGGCCTTGGAGAGTGAAAACACCACCTGATTAAGTGTCTGGGCCCAGTTAAGTCCCAGAACAGGCTGCTCTTACAGGCAAGACTATATTTGGGGTCAGGTGATGAACCTTTTATTGAGTCATTGTGATTTTGCCTGTCATTCTACCATTTACAAAAGCCAATGTCACATTCACAATTTCACTTGCTCAAAAAAGCAGTGACAGTGTGGCCCGCAGCTTGTGAATTAATTCTGAAAATCAAGATGGATCGGCCACTGCTGTTTTATTTTATTTATATTTTTAAAAGTAATGATGATGAAGAACTTCTTGTGTGCTTTACAGTTTATCAAAAACATTTTCATTATTTAAATCCCTCGGATAACTCTATTACTATTTCTATTTCAATAATAATAATGGCTAATATTTACTGAGTGATTCACATGTGCCAGTCATTGTTTTATGTGCTTTATATGCTGGGACTTACTTAATTCCCACAAAACTCTATGTGGTACCAACTAATATTATTCCCATTTTTAAAAAAATATTTCATTTATTTCTTCATGAGAGATGCAGAGGGAGAGGCAGAAACATAGGCAGAGGGAGAAGTTTCCCTGTGGGGAGCCTGATGTGGGGCTCAATCCCAGGATCACAACATGAATGAAAGGCAGATGCTCAACCACTGAGCCACCCAGATGCCCCCTATACTTCCTATTTTTAAAGTGAGGAATCTGAGGCACAGAGAGATCAAGTGACAACCTCCACTTTTTCTTTCTCCGCAAAGGCCTGGTCTCTGAGCTGTCCTGCATCTCTCAGCATCTTCCAGGTGCCGATCATGTACCAGGCATAGAGATAGAGGATGTGAGAAAAATAAGGCAGGATGGTCTCTCAGTCTCAAAGGAGGCCATAGCTGGCAAAGAATAAGGAAACAAACACTCATGTATCAGTTAGTTTAAGAGAGCAAGAGAGAGACGTGTGCATATGGGTGCAGATGCTCTGGCATCAACGGGGAAACTGGTGAAATCCCCCATGGGACTTCAGGGAAGGTTCCCAGAGGCAGAAACACATGAGCAGAGTACTCAGGGAAAGATAATCATGAAGAACCTTCCAGGCTAGGGGAACAGCATATGCAAAGGCATGATCATGGAGAAGAACACGTGTCCCTTGAGAAACTTAGAAAAAGTCATTCATGCTTACAGCATTGTTCCCAACACTGTAGGGAGCTGATTCTAAGGGTGGACTCAATCTCTTCACTTTTGCCTTCCACCTTATGGTTCTCTCTCTCTAACTCTCTCTCTCTCTCTCTCTAGCTCTCTTTTTCTGACCCCTTATTGTGGAAGTCTATCCGAAGCAGCACAAGATGTCTTGGCATCACATTTAAAACCCCTGAACAGGAAAGGGAAATCACGATGCCGTAAGCATACGTCAGGGGAAAGTGTGCAGCACGTCATGCAACTCCCCAAAGATCTGGCTTCCCTCCAGGCTGGCCCAGGCCCCAGTTCTGCTGGCCGCCACCAATTGCTACTGTGGTGGTGAGCGGGCAGGAAGAGGGGGTACAGGTTGGCACACCGCCAACTGGCACAGGAAGATGAGGGTAATGAGGGAAGAACTGGCAGGGCTGTGGGAAGCAGGGCCTGGTCTGCAGAATTGGCAGAGGGTGTGCCAGGTTGAGCAGTGTCCACAGGGAATCTGTGGCACCTGCTTAAGGTCAGTAGGAGAGGAAGCAGAGAATGGAGGAAAGAAAAGAGGAAAGAGGGAAGGAAGAGAGGAAAGCAAGTAGGGAAAGAGAGAGAAAAGGACAAGGAAAGGGGATCCCTGGGTGGCACAGCGGTTTGGCGCCTGCCTTTGGCCCAGGGTGCGATCCTGGAGACCCGGGATCGAATCCCACGTCGGGCTCCCGGTGCTTGGAGCCTGCTTCTCCCTCTGCCTGTGTCTCTGCCTCTCTCTCCGTGTGTGACTATCATAAATAAATAAAAATTTTAAAAAAAAGGACAAGGAAAATGTTAAGAGGCAGAAAAACATCATGGTTATAAGCAAGACACTGGGTTTTAATCCCAACCCAGTAGCTATATGTGATCCCAGGTCACTTAAATTTTCTTAGCTTTAGTTTCCTCATCAGTAAACTGGGATAATAGACCTCCCTCCTAGTCTGGAGGACTAAACCAGTTCCTATTCGGAAAGTGCTAGAACAGTGCTTGGCACATAGGAAGGACTATGTAAATATTTGTTAAATAAAGAAAAAGGAGGGGAGATGTCTTTCAAATGCCTTGGCAGTTGTGTCAGCCTGAGTCAGACAGTGCCATAGGAGGTGTGATGATCCAATCTGGTGTCATGGAAACATCTCTGAGAGTCACGGCCCTGCCAGATGGGAACCCAGATGAGAATCAAGTAGTAACTACATTCATTGATCTAAGGGAGG